GAGCCTTGTAATCTTTCTGAAGGAGAGACTGAAGAAGGTGAACTTGAAGACGATGACTTTGCAAGAATCATGGCCAGGTTGAATGAACTTGAAATAGAGGAAGAACTGGAGGGTGAAGATGGGGATAGTAGAGGTGAAGATCCTGATTCTTCAGTAGAAAGTGTGGAACAGATCCAGCATGATTTGGTGAAAGGAAGTAGAGGTGAGACAGACCGTGGTAGGGTTGAATACGGGAAACAAGAAACTACCATATCTGTTCCTAACAAAGCTTCCGGTCATAGCTCTTCACCGAGGGTCTCAGAGGTATTTTCCAAGGAAATTTAACATCTGGGTTCATGTTTATGGTTAATGGGTTTTCCTAAAGTTTATTTACTTATAATCCAGCCAAGGGTCGAAGCCAAAATTATTCAAGTGTTACCAGAGACACATCCACACAAAGATCTAGATGATCCGCTGAATGTAAGAAAACCCCTTCACTTTGATGTTCTCTGATTTCATTAGCGTTTTACAGCTCCTTCTCAGATATTGCCTGTTATTGCAGCGTATCCGACCAATGGCACAATATCTTTCCAAAGGTTAGCGTTATGATCTAAAGCATTTCAGACATCAGAAAAGTGTCAAATTAATATATTCAACATTGAATCATCTTCCTGAAAACAATTCTCTAACCAACATCTATGTTCTTTTATTACCAGAAGGTCAATCACGTGGCGGAACCCCTCAGCAAAACGCTGAAACATGGAAAGACTTTCGAACGAATGCAAAAACCAATGTTTTAGGACCACAAAAGATTGAGGTATTTAGATCTATATTCGAAATCAAGCTAACTACCTTGCATTATGGACATGTTTTCTGCAACAAAACTTATCATTCACAAGCATCTCACAAATAATCATGCCAACTTTTTTTGGGTGCAGCCACAGAAGCCAGAGCCCGAGTTTGATTCTACCAAGGTTACATACACATCTCTTTCGGCCAAGCGTTAGCAAGTTGTATAGTTGCTCAGATAGATCTGATTTTCCTTTAAGCTCACTAAATTTCTGATCCAACTCGTGCAGGCTTTTACTGGATCAATCGTAGAGCATGCCCATATTCTAGAGACCAGCGCACACAGCCAAACGCAGGTACTTTTTAATCACTCGAACTACACAACACTCATAAATGCAGGAAACATGATTCTTATTACATTTTTTTTGTTTGTTATCTTGTTATATGTCAACAGTCTTCTACGTCTCAACCGTCTAAACCAGTGTCGAGATTCAGGGCGAAGAGAAGGTAGCCAGTCAGCTCTGTGTACAATTTTTTGTTGAGTTGCCTTTATGATATGTAAGAAGTAAGAACACATGCAAATGTGCGCAACCTTGTAAGCTTACTCTATATACAGTTAATTAACAAAATCTACATAAAAAAATCTGACATTGTTACTTGACTCTTTCTAAAAAGTCTTGAAGTAGCTTCTCTCTGTCAAATGGAGACGCTGACAATACCCATCTACTAAACTCCAATATCTCCATGCCTTTAAACTCGGCTAACATCTTGTACTTCTCTCGTTTTTGTTCCCTATTTGAAGAAGACATATCCTCCTCTTCACTACAACCTTTTCTCTTCTTTTTCTTTCGATCCGCACTGTTACCGTCTCCATTTAACCTCTGAGATGTTGATGTTGTTGTCTCTCCAATGTTGATGATGTCTTCATTTCGATGTGCATACACAATGCCTATATAAAGAGTCACACAAGCCCGACCAAATATTGTAAAGACTTAAGAAAATGTAGTCAAGGATAGATGAGCACAGATCAGTCTTATTCTTACCCAAGTCCTTAAGGATAGGTTTCTCCATTTCGGGTTTGTAAGAGCACATGACCTCTTCTTCTTTTTCATCTTCTGAAACACCTGTCTCAAGCAGTGATCTCTTCTTATTCTCATCGATGTTACTATCCCTATGCAACTCAACAATATCGCTAGTGAAGAGCTTATCAGAGAGATCACGGAACAGATTTGAAATCCCGAATAGCTCGCCTTGAAACTCTTTACAGTCCTGATCACAAGACACCAAAACATTAGAATAGCGAACAATCTCTTTAATAAGGCTAATAAATTAAAGACTGTATATTTCTACATACCTGGACGCCTTCAAAGTACCTTGTCTCCATTTTCCCTGCAACCGCAATGTTTGAGAGCTGTTGTTTGTATACTTGTCTTGTATAAACTAGTTCCTCAAGGGAACCAGCACTCAACAAACGAAAAACCACCACATGACGTTTCTGTCCATACCGAAATGATCTATCTTGCGCTTGCAAGTCATGAGACGGGTTCCAATTTGGGTCAAATATAACCACACGGTTCGCGCTCACAAGGTTTAGTCCCAACCCACCAGCTTTAGTTGATATCAGAAAAACCTGACACATAAAAGCTCATTTAATCATCAGATCAGAAGTAGGTAAGAAGAAACATGATCTCTATCGAAAAGGGTTCGGTTAATAAAAACCTGTTTGCTAGGACTCGCATTGAAATCATCCACAAGAGACTGTCGCAGATTAGTTGGAGTAGAACCATCAAGTCTAGCAAAGCTATAACCTTTTCTAATTAGAAACTTTTCCAGTATGTCCAGCATCCTGTAATTTAATGGATCAAAAGCTTGCAACGACAAATATTCTCCTACATTCATCAAACTAAATCCAAAAACTAACCTGACAGAGTAACTGAATAGAAGTATCTTATCACCCTTTGAAATCCAAGAAGCCATCAACTTCTCCAAAGCTCTCATTTTCCCACAATGTTTAACATCACTAAGGTCCATGAAGCTCTTGCTTGCAGATATTCCGCCTAATAGATCAATATCTGTCCCAAACACTGTAGATACAAACTCTGCGTCCTTCTTCTGTTTCTCTGGCTCATCTTTTGGGTTTGGTTTAATAAGCTCCAGATGATTGCTTATCTGCTGAAGTTTCATAAGGCATGGAAGCACCAAGCAGAAAGGACAAGAATCACAACCATCGTGGTTGTCTCGATGAAGGTAACTCCAGATGGTTCCATCAGGAACAATCCTTCTGCAGCACTCTGATTGCTTAAGCGGGCTTCCACAAGCGCATGGATTGTCCTTATTCACAAGGCACTGAATTTCTGGGAGTTGAATCATTCTTTGATAAACCCGTCTCTGCAATTGACTCATTTGACAAAAGACTACATTATCTTCTTTCCCCATCATGAGATGCCCAATGGTTTCCTCCTTTGTCCTCCTCAACATATACTTACGGAGAAGACTGCCCAAATGCTGTTTCCTCTTATCTGCAATCTGGACAAATCTTTCCGGAGCAGTAGCTCTCTGCCCTAGCTTAAGTGGTTCATCATAGAAGTCTCGGAAATGTTCACGAGTGCCTAGTGATCCCGGTGCTACCCACTCAAAAAGATTGAATAGCTCACTGATCTTGTTCTGCATCACTGTACCCGTGAGACCAATCCTCTTCTTAGTCTTGATCTCAAGGCATGCTTCATAAAGTTTCGATTTTTCATTCTTTAACCGGTGTGCCTCATCAGCAATCACTATCTCCCAATTAATCCCGGACAAAACGGGGCCTTGGATTCGAAACGTATCAAAGCTGGTTACAAGTACCTCAACACCGCGTGCCTTGAGTTTCTCCAGAATCATATCTCTGTTTGATCCGTGGTACACCGAAACCTTGAAGAAGCTTGCCCATCGAGAAAACTCACTCTCCCAGTTGTGAATAATCGAAGATGGACAGATTATTAGTACAGGACCCTTATCAGACTCTAAAAGACATGACTCACCAGCGTCACCGTCTTTTCCATACACTGCAGCAAGAAATGCAATTGTCTGAATGGTCTTGCCTAACCCCCTGAGTCAATACTTATTATCAGAGTTCCATTATCACCCAAACATAAACTATTACAGCTACAGATTCAAATGCACAAGAACATTCTCATGTAAGAAGAACTCACATGTCATCGCCAAGAATGCCACCATGGTTGTTTTTATAGAGATTATACATAAACTTCACTCCCTCTCGCTGATGTTCAAGCAATCTACAGTTGATAGAAGCCGGTACCTACAACAAAATCATAAGGCAAATTCAAATAATTTCCAGAATTTGAGAAGAACCATCAACACTTGAGTTCCATTAAACATGAGCAAAAGTTAAAGACTTTGGTAAGAAAATAACATGTATGATCGGAATCTCTCCAATTGATGACAGCATAAGTGGTTCATAAGGACCGGAATAGTCAAATTCAGCCCGGCTTAACCCGGGTCTCCCGAATTCAATTGATCTCTCATCGTCTTCATCTACTTCTTCTTCGTCGAACTTGATGTTTCTTTTGTGATCATCTTCGTTATGATCAAAATCTTCGACTTGGGTTTTTGAGATTTTAGATTCGTGCTTTGAGGGTAAAAAGTAAGAATCATCGAGACGCAGAAGCTGCTGCGAGAGCGACGATTTGGGAGGTTTTCTCGACGGTTCCAATTCTTGTGTGGATGAAACTCGCAACGATGATGATGACGGAAAACTACCACAGGGCTTCAATGTCTCTTTGAAAGTGTGTAACAACGACATCGCTAATCGATCGCGTTGCGAGAGCAAAGGAAAAAGACTTGCTTTTTTCGAGAAACTGAAATAAAGTCGTAATATTTAGCAATTTGAAAACTTACTTGCTGTTATTCTAATTTGAAGAAAATAAGAGGCTAGAAAGGGAAATACATTATACATGTGCAGTTTTAATGGGCCAAATACGGATAGAAACGAAGCCCAAACTGTACTTGTGGCAGTAATAATGGGCCGAGTTCGAATAGCATCCAAGAGAAGCCCAAATATTATTTGTTTCCAAACATGCTTTTAGGTTTAGGGTTTCTCGTGCATCTCTTATATATAGCAATCTCCTTCTTGATAACGCCGAGAAAAGTCACCATTTGTCGATTCAACCCAATCTTGGTTTTTGGTTTTTCTTTAATGTTTTGGTGAATTATTTGATTTTCAAGAGGTTTTGTGTAGAATATGATGAAAGTTGTATATCGGTGATGGTCTTTTGATTCATATGATCGACAAAAATTTCAACTCGCTACGTTCTTTCTGATTCTTACAAAAGTTGGATTTTTTATATTTTTGTTTGACGGTTTTGGAGAATTCTCTCGACGTTTTTGTTTAAATTGGATTTGTATCTTTTGGTATTGGAAAAATAGTAATGCTGGAGAAATGATGAGAAATCAGATAAATCTTAGGACACCTTCTGACACAGATTCTGTGTATGAGAATGACATCATATTCTGATCTTCAGTTAAATTTCTTTTTTCGTTTCAAAAACAAGTTTTTCCGTTCTGTTTGTAATTGAATTTTATGGTTTTGAAGATAGGTTACCTTAATTCTCGGTTTATTAAGTGGATAATTCAATTTGAATCTACGGATGTTCTTAAGCTGCAAAGAGAGATTGTGATTCTGAGGCAACCAAATATTACAATTAAACCTTATAATTACAACGGAACAACAATCAATTTTAGAAGGAATAATGAATTCAAAGGGATTTTGTATATATGTACACACAGCGAACTCTATACGAACAGTAGTGGTTTATGCCTTTAAGCCGATCACATCAACTCAATTTATGAAACCAATAGATTATAGTGACAAATCTGACTCAACTGATTCGGCTTTTTAGAACGCTCAATAATTTGGCTCTTCCAATGATTTCAGCCTTGTGGTGTCTTGAGTGCCTGTCTATTGAATTCCTGAAGCTGTCTGTCATGTTCTTCAAGCATCTGGTCCACTCTGCTTGGCTGAGCCAACAATGGTCCTGACATGTAAATCTTGCTATCACTAGGATTATACTGAAACACAACAATGAATGTTAGTAAAAGAAAACAGCTGCTCTGATACGAGAAAATAAAAAAACAGAGATCATTAACTAACCCAAGATGGGTCAATTGGTGCTGTCATATGTCTACTATCCATAGTATCAGCTCTATTGTATGCTCGCCGATCTCTTCTTCTTTGGTTCGTGACTGGTTGATCTTGCCGTTCTAATAATGTTTTGGAGGAGACTGAGCCTGATAACATCTTCGGGTTTACTCTAGCTGGAGGGTATCTAGGAAGTGCATTCTCCTTCACATGCATTGTTGACTTAGCCATGTTCCGGTTGCTCATCAATGGACCTGAGTGTGAAATTCTCACACCAGTTTGATTGTTTCTGTTGTGCTGCATATTTTGATAATCAGGAACTGGTCCATGAGGAGTCCTCTCCTCCTTAAACGACTTGAAACTATCGTTCCTACTCCTCAAATCTTTATATTGTTTCTGCATTTGCCAAAAGAGTGATTTGCTTTACAGTTAGTTACCTCCACGGTCATTGTGACCATAAAAGCTAGGACCTTTTACAGTTACTTACCTCCATTGTCATTGACAGAGAGTTATTTGCTTTGACCGGTGGTACAAATTTTCTCTCGTGTGATATTCTCGTCATAGAGTCTTGTCTTTCTTGTTTCTCCGCCCTCATAGGTTGTTGCCTTTTCGCTTCATCACGCATTTTCGCATCAATCTCTTTACTAGGAGGATATTTTGGTAAGTTCGATGGATCGCAAGCAAACGGCTTGGTTTTGAAGTACTGACAAAAGAACAGAGTTTTGTCACTAATGCTTCCATGATCTCAGTAAACCAAGAACATAGTAAAACATCATGAACCAGTTACCTCACTCTCAAGGGCACGATCTGCAGAGCTCCGGTGATCAGGATCTATGGAGAGTAAAGTCTCTAAAAGTGAAAGAACACTTGCAGGAAAGTCCTTAAACATCTCTGATACTTTCCGCCTATAAGGAATCGCGGTTTTGAATCCAGCTGAAGATGGTAACTTCTGTTTTCTCCAGTAATTTTCTGTTGGTGAACCGCAAAGCTTGAAGATTTTATGCAATTGTTCTACCTAGAAAGATTAAGGGCTACATTTGAGTTGAAGCAAACAAGATGCAACCTGAATTTGGAGGAAATGAAATCTACGAGAATTTGCATACCTCGGTTTTTCCAGGGAGGATCGGTTTACCGGCATATAATTCACCTAAGATGCAACCTGTGCTCCATAAATCAACCCCAACACCGTAATGAGAGGCTCCAAGCAAAAGTTCTGGTGGCCGGTACCAAAGAGTGACAACATGGCTAGTCAATGAAACACTTTTTGCAGGGTCGAAAAAAGTTGCTAACCCAAAATCTGCTATCTTCAAGACTCCCTTACTGTCGTCAATTAGTAGGTTTGAGCCTTTTATATCACGGTGAAGAACGCCACGGCTGTGACAATGTTCAAGCCCACTTAGAAGTTGTCGCATGTAACATTTAACCTAAACAACAGAAACATAAAAGAAACGGATTTTGAAGCGGAAAGAAAAATCTATGCTTTTGACATTAGGGTAGCTCAACATTTATGTGCAGTACCTGAGGCTCTGTAAACTTGACACCAGGTAGTGAAGAAAGTCCTAAGAGATCATGATCCATGTACTCAAAAACTAAGTAAAGGGACGATGAGACAGGGGCAGTGATCAATCCTTCCAATTTCAGGACATTAGGATGATCAAGCCGTCGCATTACTATGATCTCTCTTGCCATAAACTTAACACTTTCCATATCGTTAAGATCAAACCGGACTTTTTTTAGCGCAACAATCTTGTTATGAAGAAGATCGCGAGCTCTGTATACGCTGCTATATGTTCCTTGGCCAATCTGCATCCATAAGAAAGAAGGTTCTATTAAACAGAAACAGGATCTGGACCAAAGAGTGGTAACAAAAGAAACTTACTTTCTCCAGCTTTTCAAAAGTATTTGCTCGTCGTGGAGCCCAATCCACTAGTGACTCACCAGCAACAGAGACCAGCCAAGACGGCCATCCTGCTGCCACTTGCTTCCGCTCTGCATCCTTTGGACTAACAATGCTTGAACCCCTCTTCAGTTCCCGATGAACCACTCGAACCGAAGCTTCAACCTCAGGTTTCTCTACTCCCTTCTCTATCTGATGATGCTCAGAAAACATGCTAGAACTCAACTTTTCAGATTCAATCAACCGAACTTTGGAATCTTTGCTATTCCATCTATCTAGCTTGGCCTTAACAACCTTTGGATCAATATCCAAGTCCGAGTCTACAACAGCACTAGAGGCCCTTCTCAATTCCTGATCATGCACAACTCTATCCATATGAGCAACTGTCGCAGGATTCTCTAATATCTTCCCAATCTGATGATCATGACACCTACTTGTACTAAACATTTCGGATTCAATCAACCTAACTTTAGCATCTCCACTGTTACTCAATCTATCAAACCCATCTTCCGGTTGAATCCAATCATCAATCCTCCTCGACGAATCAATCCGAGAGGAACGTTTCTCCTCTGATGACTCTTTCAGTGTTGTTGACTTTCTTCTAAAAGGCCTATGCCTAGAATTCACACAACCCATTCGTATGCTCTCTAGAACATGAATCTACACACATAACCAATCTACAGAAAAACTTAACCTTTATTATTCACAACCCAATCCATTCACTTCCCTAAAATCTAAACCCTAATTTCAATCCACTCAGAACAAACACACAACTTCAACGGCTCAGCGGGAAATACCCAATTCACGAAAACCAACAAGATCGTATTTTTGAATTCTTCTTCTTCTTCGGAAGACCACACACAGTACACTGTGAAATCCCCAGAAAGAGTGATTCGAACCGGAAAAATCAAAACTTTGGCCGGAATTGAGTGAAGGAATGGAGAGAAATTGATGAAGATTGACTTTAGGCAAAGCGTTGAATAGAATCAAAGAGGGTTGCGGAGAGAATATGTAAGGAAAGGGGAGATTTTTATTTGTTAGTTGTAGCAGATTTGACTAATTAAACGATTACGTAGAGTGAGTCACTATCATCGATCGATGTATGAACGGATTCATAAAAAAAATAGCTAAATGTCAATAACCAACTTAGCCGCCTTTCGTCGACCAAAGTTAGATTTTTCTCCACATCTCTCTCTCTCAGTCTCTCTATGGCTCTATCTCATCATCATTCATGGAATTCTCTTTCATTTATTTTTATTTTTTAAAATGTTCAGATTTTATTAAATGTAAGTTTGATTGGTATCATCATTCAGCCTATTCAAATAATTGTATCAAGACTTGTTTTAGTCAACATTTTTTTTTTGTCAACCTTTTAAATGGTAGATAAAATTGGTTGAAAATTTTAAAATAAACTTAGAGCATTATTATAGTCTTTCAATCTATTTGATCATCGCTCTTACAAGACTAATTGTATTGACTTTTTATTTCGTTTGAAATTATTCTAATTGTTTAGTTTTTTTTTTTTTTTTTAATTGTTTAGTTTTCGTGTATGAAGTTCTTATAATTTAACATGTGGACTAAAACAGTGAAGACAAAAATATAAGAAATTAATCACGAGTATAAAGAAGTTCAGAATTGTGATAGGAAGATGTTGTTTGACTCAAATAATTTGCCAAATACATGTGCACACGCGTGTGTTTGTAAATAACTAAAATAGAATAATTTATGAAATACTTTAATTTACTTGGCTCACACGACAGCCCGATGTCTTTAGAACTAATTCATTTACTTATTTTAAAAAAAAATCAAAGTGTATTAAATATAGAGATCGTCAATAGGATGCCGACACCTTCATCGGCATGCGGACCATGCGGTGTTGCCAATTTGCCATCGCGACCGTGTTGTATGGCAAAATTGGACTCCGTTTCCGGTCATGGGATTATGAACTAGAAGATTCTTTGAAGTGTACATCAATAGAAGACTACAAAACTGGAAGATTATTTGTTTAATGTTCTTACAAATTAATTCTCAAAGTCGTGTCAACTTCCATATTAGAAAAGCGTTTGACACATAACAAAGTCGTTGCAATCGTTCGTACGTGAAATTGTTACAAATGTCAAGGGACGTTAAATTGTTTCATATGCCAAGTAAATCTTAGTATTCCAAATGTCCAATTACTTGGAAGATGGTTTACCATACAATACCACATCCATATCCAATTTTAAAAATGTTTGATTGTAGATTCTCAACTTATATGATTAGTGTTCCATATATTGTAGATAAATGCTTAAT